ATACCTATATCAAGTTAGACCCAGGGTAAATCCATAAAATAGTACATGTTTGCGCTCCTTCATAGAGTGAATTAGTTGGGATATCGCTGGGGCGATCTCTGCGACGCTTTCTCTAGCTTAAATTGTACTTAAATTTGTGCTGATCTTCCGACACTTACAGGACCTAAAAAGCAATTATATATGGCTTAGAGTATTTGAACAAAATGGTAAATACGAAATTGGAGGATGGTCCTTTCTTCTCAAACCAGAATATCCTTGCATCAAACAGAAAGGGATCATCAGGGTAGCAGCATATGTATCTGGCCATTACACTGCAAAGCAAAGCGAATGTCAATAGGTACTCCGTACTATCAGAAACACCCAAGCAGTTGTGGCTGTAAACTATTACTTACCAGCATACTCTCTTAGGTTGGTTAGGTAAGTTTGGTACATACATACCTGAATTACATACAGCTTACGGCAAATATCACACTAGTCTTGACTCTTCAGGGAAGGGGCATTCCCTCCCTCTGATCGCCCGAAGAAGGATGATCTATCCATCTTCTGTCCTTGGCCCACGTTGCCTGGCGCATGAAACTGTCCGCGTGCACAGTGGGTCAAGAATGACAGGCCAAATTCTTCACGCCCCTACTTCGTAGAGTGGCTTTCAGTCCTGTTCCTGCAACTGCAAGCAGGTAGGTAGGTATGACTGAGACTCTCTAAAATTCCAAAGTCCTACTCTAAGTCGGTTTTGCTTTAGTTATATCCTATAAAGGTCCTAATTTCGCTTCCTGGGTGTAAGATTAGTGAGCCTGTTACCCTCTTGATTTCATTCTTCTTTGTCGAAGCGGATCTCTTAAACAATTACAGTCCCATTACAGCCTGACCGATACAAGTAGGTAATTGCGGAAAATAGTTTGTTACAGGGAAGGAAGCCAACCAAGCCGAGCTCCCCGCTCTATCCTCTTCTTTTCTTTTTCTTTTTTTTTTTTTTTTTTTTTTTTTTTTTTTTTTTCCTTTTTTTTTCTCCGTCCTCACCATTATTCATTTTCTTTCCCACTTCCCCCTTAAAACAAATCTCTTTGATTTCATCATTCTTTTCTTCTACGTCCCTTTCCACCATACTCCGTACATCCTACGCAATTTATTTTTATTTTTATTTTTGTTTCTGAATTTTCCTTTCCTTTCCTTTTTATTTTTCATTTTTCCTATTTTATTTTTATTTTTATTTTTATTTTATTTTATTTTTTTAACCACGAATTTCCTCCTCCTCGTTCCCGGTTATCTTACGCTCATACCGAACATACATACATACAACAACCCCCCTCCTCGCTCTTCCTTTTCCACTTTCTTATCTGGTTCGCACTATTCAATGCCAACCATATCCTCCACTCCCCTCGACCAAGGATCTCCTCCCTCCTCTCAGCATCACCATCTTTCTTACCATTCCCATACATCTACTACATCTGTGCCGGTCTCTTCCACCCCGGCCGGCGTTCCTTCTTCTTCTATCCTTCCCCGTCTCACTTCACCCGCACCCACGACGTCCAGCACCACTACGGCGGCCAATACAACCACCACCACGACGACTAGTTTTACTAGTTCTGTGATTGGCTCAATTTCACGACGCAACCGACGGTCGTTTGCTGCATTAGCCCGCGAGAAGACCTCTAACGCTCTCGCGAATCTTTCGGCCATCGGAAGCACCACCAATTCCTCGCTCCGGACCTCCGCCTCGTCGGGAAGCCTTTCAAAGCATTCGCGGAAGCCATCGCAGATTAGCACCCACGAAGTTGCAGGTGTTTCGCCTCTGACCCCACCGTTATCCGACGGAAGTACGAGCAGCGATCAATCGAGCCCCGCGTGCATCGAGACCTCGGAGGTGGAATTCCAGCAGAGCTTGATCGGAAGGAGGCGCCACACTCTTCAACGCAACTCACATATCTCAGAGGAACAGCTTGAAGCCGGATTTGCCGCACTCCCATCCAAGATGCACCAAACGTCTTCGAGACTGTTGCGTATGACGGAAGATGATCGCCCTTTTACAAAGGTATGGAAAAAAAGAAGAAAGCCGGAGCTTCTGGATCAATTCCAGCGTGATACACAGAATGCTCAAAATTTTGAAGGCAATGTTTGTTGACGATTTCGGCCTTTTTTTTTCTGTAGGATTTCATGGACCTTTTCTCAACCCTTATGGTCAGCTTGAAACTGGATTCGCATCGTGTGAGATTTACGAAATATGACCACACCTTCACATCTGAGGAAGCTATCAACAACCTCGGATCGCTGAAGTTCTCCCAATCGAACCGCATGCCTGATCCCAAGGATCCCTCTCGCATTGTGACCACGACTACGACTACCACCTTTTCTATGGCCAAGGAGATGGCTCGCTCGGTATGCCAGCGTTTCGTTGACGCTCGCTTTATCGAACCCGTTGATGGCAAAGCACTCCCGATATTCCCGCTGAAGGGCGCGTTGTTTCAGCTCACTCCGAAGGGCATCAATATCTTGCAGAGATTCTGTCAGAGAAATGGTATCACCGCTCGACACGTGATAGATGTGCTGGAATCCCCTCGCAACACGATGCAACTGGTCAACCTGGAGCGCGACACGGAGACTGATAAACTGTCGCATGACCGGGCCACCATCGAAGTCATTTTTCGCCGCTTTGCCGGTCAGGACGGACCCAACGTGAAGAGCAGTATTTCTACCTCGGATTCGGATTCATTAAGTGATTATTCAAACGGTCTGGTTGGGGTTAAGATGGCCAAGGAACGGAAAATCAACGACAAGATCTACATGAACACCTTTACTGGAAAGGCTGCCGTGGACTGGCTGATGGATTGTTCGACAACCATTGAACGCCGGGAAACCGTCCTCATTGCGGAGCTTTTCGTCAAATACGGCCTGATCACAATGCTTCAAGAAGACAAGGGGTATCCTCAGCCAGATGCGTCCATTGTCGTCTTCCAGCCATCCAAGTACGCTATTTACGGTATCACGGAGCGGGGTCAGCGGGTTTGCGGTTGGATCGCGCGCGACAAGTCCCGCGAAACGTTCTATGACAACCGTGGTATGCCAAAAGACTCGAACAACGCTCGTTTGAACCACATTCTTCATGATCCTGCTCTGCGACTGCTGTTCCGTGAATTCCTGCGTTTCTCTCTATGCGAAGAAAACCTATCATTTTACCTCGATGTCTCGGAATTTACTGCTGCTTACCACAAGGCGGAGAAAATGGGTGCATTCAAGAAGGCCGACGCTGTCCGCGAGACGCTGGCTGCCGCATATGGTAAGCCACTCTTTATAGGGGTTCTGATTGGTTATTGGATCCTTGCTCACTTTCTGCCAGGTCTTTACAATGCTTTCCTTGCCCCTGGCTCTCCTTGCGAGCTCAATATCGATCACGCACTGCGCAACAGCTTAGCGAGCCGTATGACAAAGGCTGTAGGTGATGACGAGTCTATGTTCAAAAGCCTTCAGGAGGTTGTGCAGTTGTTTGAGATGGCTCAAACATCCGTTTTCAAATTAATGTCTAGTGTAAGTTCTTTTTCTTCCGATAACAGCTTGGTCAATCGCAGTTCGCTGATGAGGATCAGGACTCTGTTCCCAAGTTCCTACGTGATCCGAAGTATGCAGTTGTCCTGCAGGAGCATGATGTCGACTTGATCGGTGCTCCAAGGGCTTACTCACCCACTCCGGCGCCTGTTCCGGAGCGCTCGATGAGTCGTTCGGCACGCCCTTGAACTGTGGGGAGGGAATACGTTCTGCGATCTTCATGAGCGCGAAGTCCTTGTATGGGATAACTGCAGCTCTGCCAACGTTCTCTTAACGTTCTCGAGACACGGGGTGTGATATCGTCCACGGTCCAGCACGCAAACTTTTATTGGACTGGTCAAGGAGACTACTACGGCTTTTGAAGTCTCCAGATGATTTTGGCACGATTGAATCCCGCCGCTCCCACAGTATGGAGCATCGAGGGCGATGGCCCGTTGATACGTCTCGAATTTTCTCACCTCAATTGTCCGTTACGCGCCTCCGACTTGGAGTAACTCCGCCCTACTCCATATAAACTTTTTCTTTTTCATTTCACCGACGCTTGATACACGGTTGAGCTCAACAACAGCTCACGTTTTATGATAATCTTCATTTGTAATCAAGTCATCACGACGGATGAAAGATGTTACGATCTATGGATCATGTGATAGAGAATGGCCGGAACTGGGGTGTTTATAATATGTTTTCCTTTGTTCGACCCTCGCATATTGAAGAGGAGGCTGAACCCCGACAGTTTTCCAGCATTAGAAAGGCGTTTTGTCCATTTACATCTGCCTGCATGCATGGCCGCACAGCCCGATTATCATTTTCTTTCAGTTTCCGTTGTTTCAGCATATTCCACGTGAAGAGAGATCATGTACATGTCTAAGTATTCTCTTTCCTGCATCCAGTTTCCTTCGACGCTTCTGTGATACATTTCAACCTATCAGCGAGTGTATTCCATCTAGTCATTGACAATACATAAAATATTGGGAATATGAATATTTCTTTCTCGTCGCCGGTAGCCATTCGGGGATCAGAATACCATTGAATCATCTGTGCCCGGAGCTGCGCCCAGTCGAGTCAGATAGTATCATGTCTAGCAAAAGACCACTCACTCAACGCCAAAGAGATTCGATGTAAAGAGAATATGAACAACAGTAGAAATGGGATGATATCAAAGAGACAAATTGACTGAACGCCAGCAACACGCCTTTTCCTGCTATATGAAAGGATCAAAGTAAAAAGCGAATAGAGGATACATCGGGCGGGGCCCATTGTCTTGTGATTTCAGCAGCTGCCGCGCACAACGAAGCATTTCCTATGCTTCAGATTCGCGAACCGAGCAGTGCAAATGCGGTCAGACGAGACTAGACTAGATCTCGCCTGATTTGCAGATGCTGCGAAAATGGAATACTATAATGCTGATTTCGACAAGAGGGTCACGGGTTAGGGTTGGAAGGACGGGAAATCGAGGGGTCCCATCATTTCGTCGACCCGGCTCCCCACCCTCTCGCTTTCATGCCCTCTTCGATGGCCGTCCAGATATTCTCGACGACTTCGCGATCGCGCCAGCGGCCGGCGCCATGGACGCCGCCTTTCTCGTCCCATCGCTCGACGGCGAAGCTCTGCACGCCGCGGCCCCAGCCGCGGACTTCGCGGGGGACGTCTTCACCGCGCCAGCCGACGTAGATGCCTGTGGCGTGCTTGAAGAGTTCCGGGGGGGAGGTCCACTTGTACGACTTGAACTGCCAGGTTTGGCCCGTCGTGAACACGGCAACGAGGCGGTTCCAGTAGTCTGGGCGGAAGTTGGCGGTGCTGTCGACGAGGATGAAGCGGGTGGGTTTCTTGGAGACTGCTCCAGGTTGGGAAGCCCCAACTGGACGAGAGGTGGAGGTGGAGCCGGCTTCTGAGCGGAGAGGGCGGTAGATGTAGAGAAGGTTGTTGGAGGAGCTGGGCATGGCGAGGGTGGGATGGTCTGGCGGCACGAAGACGCCGTCCTGCAGGAAGGAGCGGACGTTGGACATGCGGATAAGAGACGAGGCGGAGGGGGAGAGGAGGATGATCGGGTCTTGGTTCTTGGAGCTGCCGCTCTTTCGGGGCTGGGTGAGTCCCGCGGACGGGGCGGGCACGACGGGCTGCGGCTTACTTCCAGGTTTCGCGCCGGGGGGATATTGCCCTGTTCGTGAGCGGTTGCGTCCGAGGAAGGTCTCTGCTACTTTGCGAACGTGTGAGAAGTCCTAAATTTTCCGTTAGCATTGCCCTTTGATCTGTCTTTCCAGCCGCCGGGGGGCGGAACTCACGGTAGGCTTGATCCCCCGTAAGACACTATTCCGATCGCCCATCTTCCGTTCTCCGTTGTAAATTTCCTGTAATCTGGGATCAATCACCTTCGGCGCCCGTCCACCTGGAGCTGCTACAGCCGCCTGAGCAGCACCAGGAACCGCAGAGACAGCACCTGCGGCCCCGGGAGCGATCGCAGACGCGTCCGCCGGAGCCGCAGAGGGTGCGGCGGCGGCCGCACCCTCAAGGGGCTTGATGTATTCGCTCTCATCCGAGGCACCTTCCAGCCAAGTGATGAGATCCAGCCGCTCAACGAAGACCAGATTCTGCACCTTCTCCTCTGGCTCGCCTTCCTTGCGCTCCTTTTGCTTCAGCGACTCGTTCAATTCCTGCGCCGAGGCGATGTACTCGGGGATTGCGACGTCTTTCTTCTGCCAAGCGAAGAAGATGCTGCGGAGATCGACGGCGGAGTCTGACGAGGCGGAGACGAAGCGCGTCGGCGCCGTCAGCGGAATGGTCTGCGGAATTGGCTGGCGGAAGTACAGATGGGTAGCCTTGGCCAGATCCTCGGTCGCATTCTCATCTGAGAGATCGGAGGTGGTGGTTGGCGTGGGAAGACTACCGGCTGCGATCGCACGGCGAAGCGCAAGGAGCGGATCGTGGAGGGAAGGGTCGACGGAAGCCATGATAGACGGCAGAGACACTGGTCAAAAACGATTACGGAAATGTTCTGAACAGCCTCTGAAGCCCAGGCGGGTATAGAAGGTGGTTGTGTTGAAGAGAGCTGCTGGGCTTCGGAAGAGTTGTTGCAAGCTGGATGAGAGCAAGAGACCCGAAAAGTCACGTGATTAGATACTGTCGACAGGTCGACGGTCCACTAGATAGAGCTCAACAACAGAAGAAATGATCGCAAACGAGACCCTTCCACTTCCATCGAGAGCAGAATAGACTAACATAGTGTCGCATCCGACCCATGCCCCATGCCCCCGGGAAGCTGTCACAGCAGTAAACAAAATTAAATGCACCATAATCTGTAGTATAGCCTGTTCCACTGTCGCTTCATTGTGGAAAGGATATAGAGAAAATGGGGGGCCGTTATCGCCATATGAGCCATTTAAATACTTCATCTGCTCGAGAATGTTTATAGACGACAAATCTAGGTAGCCACAATGACGGAGGTTATTCAAAGTACGAGAAAGACGACGGAGTGGTGTGGTTGACGATATGGAATGGCCCTTGAACTCGGACGCCTTTGGATTTCTCTCGGCAGTCTCGACCACGGCATCAGTAGAGGCTCTCAAGCAGGTGAGTAACCTCCTCATATAGCCCTCACTGCTCGGTCAGCTCGGTTGCTCAAACGTGAACCAGCAACCACTCGTCAGCAGAAAGGATCGTTTGCTGGGCGGACTCGTTTTTCTAGCGCGATCGGTATTTCGATACTTAGTTAAGACCCTATACACCGATTGGCGTGTCATTCCATAGTAGCGTCTCGGCCTCGACCTTCTCTTGATAGTCATCCTCTGCGAATGCCTCGCGAATTATCTGCTGAATTTCCGGGAATCGTTCTGCACCATACATGAGCTTTGTAAACTCCCAGTACTCAGGATAGAAGCCGGCGCATTCCCACAATTCCAGACAGGCGCCCACGATCAATAAGGATATTGCTGGGGTGGAGATCGGCTTGGGTGAACACAGACCGATATGGACGGGCGTGGACGGCTGCAATCTTGTCCTTTGTCTCCTTACGCACGTAGCGGTGGACTAGGAAGGCGTTGAATTCAGAAAGCAGGTTGAATGGACCACATGTGCCCGATGGAAAACGATGGTCCTTCAGCGGGCCGCCATGACTGTTGCAGAAGAGGTACGAGGTCTGGTTCGGAACGCACCGCAGCTGCGACAAAACACTCTTCGAGTCTTTCAACAGCTGTTCGCGCTCCGAGTATGAGAGACGGTGAAAGACCGCCCCTAGCGTTTGTCCAGGCACGGCCGTCATGATAAGAACGGGGTGCCTGCTCCCCTGGTATTCATCCACCCAGAGGGGTGCTGGGATCGAAGTGTACTGTTCCACCAGCTGCAATGCCTCAGCTTCATTACGATCAGAGCGATTGCATTGTTTCGCATACAGTCCGAACGGCAGCCGGTGCACGAGGCCGGTGAAAGACCGCGGGTAGAGGTAACTGCCTAATTTCAGGAGCACGCGGTAGCACTTGACACGTATCCATTTGGGCACGAGATGCCAGAGAGAGCGTAATGTCTTCTGTGTCGTTGCATTCAACTGGACTATCCAAAGCGACTCAGCCATAAAGTCCCATATGCAGGGGGTCAGTGTCCCATACACAACGGAGGCGAGGTCCAGTCCTCAGCAATTCGTTCTTCAACATGGAATAGATGCAAGGCGGCTGCAATGCGGTAGTGCGTTCGGAGTAGGAATGGATCTGGAAGGGGTAAATTGGCGTCTTTGGTCTCCATGGTGAACATCTGCACTGGCCAGTCCCATGGGCTGCCATCGCTGAGAAAGAGCGCACCACAAGGCTCAGGCCACAGTCTGGAGACGAAATACTAGCACCAAGTCAGTCAGAAGTACTTGTGGTGTAGGCCAGGGTCCCCCGAGGTACAGACATGAACTTTGCTCGCTGTTTTGAGTCTGATCTCGGTCTCATCATTCCATTGGTCGGGTGTATCAGTTGGGGGGGGAGGGAATTTGAATGTGTCCATTTCGAAAAGCCGAATGAATGCTAGATGAAAGTAAGAACAGGTTTCTTAATTGCGATCCCACCGTGTCAGTCCGCAAAAGGGCCTGAAGCTCAGCTGACTTGGCAGGGGTCAAGAAAGCTTGCAGAATAAGATAAAGAGGACCCTAGTAGTAGCAGGATGGAGTTTTAGTTAGATCTCTATTTCAATCTTAGCGAAAAGATGCCTAATAAACACCTACCTGGGGATCCCTGTCACTGTCATCGAAAAGGCTCGGGGGGATCACCCAGGCATGATCGAAACGAACGCATACGCTGGGGTCCGATGGCTTCCGACGCAGCATAAAGCAGTGCGAGTCGTCCCGAGCTTCGACCAGAGTTCGTGCATCTGATGAGACTTGTTCTCGCCTGGCCACTGATTCAACATTAGCGGAGAATCAGGAACACGCTCGGTTTGGACTGGCACGTAGTGACAACTCGCTTCCAGTCGAGTCTTAATTCTTGCAAGAGTTGCTCCGGAGGACGACTGGAACGGTCATGGATCGTTTCCCAGATATATTGAGCAGCATATTCCGGATCGACGCCCTCGTCCAGAAAGGCTCTCCAAATGGAGTGCTCAGTTGGTGTGAGCTGGGTGGACTCAATTAGCCGGATAGTCGCGTTATACCTTCCCAGTTGTGGCGCCATTCTCGAGCATGAGCGAAGAGTATATCTAGCTACGACGCCTGATGTATTTCTGTCCGCCGTTAGACGGTCCGACAATGGGGTTGGGGAAGAGACAGGGCGCGACGTCAAACTCTGTGTTGAGCGATGCTACTGGACGTAGTTAGTAGAGCGGAATGCTTACACACCTGTCGTTTCCAAGTCTCGTCAGTCTGCTCAGGTCTTTGCTCAGCAGCCTTGACGATGCCACAAGTCCTGGGTACGCTGGGTTCTGAGGTTGGCAATCGCACGGTGATGGACACAGCTTCTGAAAATTTGCTTAGCTCTGTTGATGGCCAGTCGCCTTCAGTAAGTTGCAGCCCTCAAAACTGTTGGCGGTTGAAGAGTTCATAACAGACTGTTCCTAAATTTATCCATTGAGGGCAATGGTATTAGATCCAATGAACTGCTCAGATTAAGCGCTATAGTATGTAGAATGAGCATCATCGGCATCATCGCGAGTGACAGGCAGGTGGCTGGACCAGGCACGCACATATAAGGCCGGTCTGTGCCTGCTACCAGTCCCTCCACCTTACATTCAAGCCATCATTTTCAGATTATAAGGCAAAGGCTCTATATTCTTCTGTCTGACCGTGGCGAAAACAGTTATCTCCGGGCAATACAACAAACCTGGAGGAAACCCAGGTTCGCCAGGAATGAAAATTCAACGAAGGACTCTGAGCTCGAATGTCGGATGCTGGAGCCTGCTGCAGGAGGTCGGGTTTAAGGAAATATCCTCCGAGAACGTAAACCCTCGATACAGTGGACCCTAGAAGGCCTGGAAAAGCATAAAATCTCTGGAAAAGGAATCTCTTGTAGATATCTGCATTGGTCATCTCAACTGATGAATCAGATCATAATGCCGTTAGTCTCCGTGAGACACAGAGTCGTCGCAGATACTGCTAGGGGGGGAAAAAAAAATCCTAAGAATAAGGAGAGAGAAGAAAGAAGTCACAGTGGAAAAGGCAAAATAGTAAAAAGACAAATCGTGAAGCAGACGCTGCACCAGCGATTAGACCAAATCCCATTTAACCATCCCGAGCCCATAATATTTCCGCTTCCAACCAACGCCAGATGCGCCTTTTGTGTATCAAAACAAACCCGACTCCATGGCTAGAACGCCTTAGTTCCCACCGTGTACACGAACAGAAATGGTAGTGTGTAGAAAGACAAGCAGATTAGAAAGGAGAGGGTCACAAATGTGCTCCTTTAAGAGACGAAGTGGACGAACGAAAAGAAAGATCCCGCCAATTACCATGGACGCGCAACAAGAGTTACCAGCAGACAAATGCCTAGAAAAAGAATGAGGGGACATGTGAGGTCGGCGCTGAACCAGGAGCGTCCTTCACTGTCACGTCCGGTGGTGTGGGACTTTCTCGCTTAGTCGCTTCAGCTTCTCCTGTCGCTTTGACCTCGGGGTTCATTGTGTCTACCGGCGCGGATGAATCGCCAGTTGCAGTCGATTGATCGGAAACAGGCTTCTGTGGAGGAAGCATGGCAGTCGCTTGCGCTTGGCTCTTCTCCGACGTCGGGGTGGTCAGTGCTCCCCTTCGGCTAAGGTAATCACCAAGACTGAGCTTCTTCTTGACAGGGCTCGGCGCGGTCACTCCAGACCCTGGAGTTGCTGCGGCAGGTTGCACTGGCGCATCCAGGGTCGATGGCGATGACACCGTCGATCCGGTCGCCGATCCCGGACTGATGGCAATCGGTCCTGTGGGGTGAACGGCAGGAGGAAGAGGAACCCAGAGATTTGTACGGTGACCGTTCACCTTCCTTCCTGGTAACAGAGCATTGTGGGCAGCAGTGGACGGCCAAGGAGGGGGTAGTGGAGGCTTGGTTAACCCCCTAGGAGCGGATGGGGGTGTCGATGCGTTTTGTTCTGCCTCTCGAGTCTGTGATTGACCGGAAGACACGACCGTAGGCGAGTTGGAATCCTTCATTTCCACGTCTTCCTTCTCGGTCGAGGAAGTTTTGAGAGGTGTAACATTTCGGTACAAGCTGCCGTGAGGACTCGAAGACAGAGGTGAGAGGACAGCTGGAGACGGCGATGATGGTCTTAGACTGTCTTCCACCAAGCGAACACGATCTGCATGACAGCGCTTGAGTAGCCGTTGCGTGAGGGGTACATAGCTAGGCCGCCGTAGGGATGGCGCAGCCGAGAGCAATAACGTATCAGCTTCGGGCTCCGTCTGAATGGCCGAGTCCACATAGTGCGGACGTCGCAGCGGAGACGGCCCGTGAGGAACGCCGATACCGGAGGGCTTCCTAGACATGGACCCTGAGGGCTGGGCAGAAGAGGGCGAGCGAGTATGACCTTGGGCTGATACAGTCTGATGAGCTGACTGACCTGCCTGGGTCTGAGATACCAAGGACATTTGGCCACTGTTTCGTTTCTTCTTCTTGTGCACCTGCTGATCATGTTCTAGTTGCTGGAATTTCTTTTCCGCTGCCGCAATCTTGCGCTTTTCTCGAGCGGACAACTCAGACTCGCCATCGTGCTGCAGCGTAGGAGTAAGGTCTCGACTGCGCGGCTGGCCCCGCGAAGAGCCCGATGTAGAACGACCGTCGGGCTGATCGTCATCCTCCATGTTCCTGGTCGTTTCACTGCCTGCGCGACTGGTTGTCGCAGACGGCGAGGCGGCGGACTTCGTCTTGGCTTTCTTCCGCTTACCGTTGACCTGCTTCGACTCGAGCGCCTTTGGGTGCCGCCGGCGATCAACGCTAGCAAGTAAGCAATTAGCTGGAGGCTCGCACGCGCAGCCACCGAAATTTGCAAGCACATTGCTGATGCAAATTGCAGCTACCTCCTGAGCGCTGTCACTAGGCTCCTGCTTGACCAGACCGTGTGTCGACTCGAAGAGTTGGGGATCCAGATACCACATGGCCGTAATCTCCGAGTTGGCCGAAATGTCTTCTTTAGCAACGAAGCAGAAATGATACTCGACCTCGTTGGTGATGTACGTCTTGATCGTGACATTGGGTCGACATGAGCGACGCACATAACGGAGGATGCTACCCTCATGTCGACTGTCAATGTAGATGGGGAGCTGGGGGTGGAAGAATACAAAAGGTTCCGGATGACGAAGCTCCTGCCAGCGATTGCTGGGATCCAGACAATAGTCTCGCAAAAGACCAATCTTGCCAGTAATCTCACCAACAATGTGGTCTTTGGAGACACTCTCGCGAGTCCTGAGAACCTTCCACGTTGGATGTTGCCCTTCGAAATCGACGCTGGGGTCGGTGATTGTTTCTGTAGATAACGAAGGCCAAAGCGACCGGTCCAGCGCAGTATCCGACCAGGTGAAAATGTCACGAGACGATCGCCCATTGGAAACTCGAGCGAGCGCAGTTGGGTCAGTCACCCAGGACGCCAAGTCTGCCGCAAGAGGGAGGTTGACAAAGAGGTTGCTATTCATGGGGGCATAGTCCTCATCATGGTCATAAAGATGTAGAAATTCATTCGAGTAAAGGGGGATGGACGGCCCCAGGGATTTAGTAGGACTCATGGAAGTTGCGACACGTCTGCGGCCATCGGGTGGGAAGGGCGCAGCACCTGGAACAGAACTGATGGATCCGGAGGCGCGATGAGTGGCTTTGGCCTTTTTGGCAGGGGGCTGGTCTCGAGCAATCGAGTCCGCCCGGTGATGGAATCCGTTCACCTTGTCACCATGGTCCTTGACCCTTTTCTTCTGACCTTTCGCTCCGGTACGTTTCGCTTTCCGGTCACCGCTGTCGCCGACCTCCCTGAGACGTCTCTGCCGCTCGGTGGCACGCTTAGCATCGAGGTAGCGAGGCTCGCAGTCCACGCAGTTGTGGACTTCAGGCACGTGGCGACCATGGTAGTAGCATTCGATATGCTGCCAAGTCTCGCACCCTTCGCAAAAGACCGTGTTGCCATCGTCATCTTCGAATGCGCAGATGCATTTGATGGTATACGGCTCCTCCTCGTCAAGGGCGGCAGAGTCGGAAACGGCGCCGTTGAGGGCGGGTGAATTCAGGGGTACGGTGACCGGATAGGGCTCCGTGGTTGAGTGCGTGATGGCGACTGGGGAGGTATCTGTCATAATCTGACAGAGTACCCCCTCCACGAATGAATGGAAAACGCGCTGTGGTGTATTGTTGGGCGGTTATGGGCTTCAAATAACCCGTTCAGACCCAACAGACATGCCACCTACCACCAAATGGATGGTTACACGTCCTTATTCAGTTCTTGCCCAATAATCGACAACACCTGCGATACAGAGTGAAATAATCTAGTTGGGCCCTTCAAAGCGGGATCGAAAACAGTGGCCCCAAAAAGGACGCGAAATCGAAAGAACCGCG